CAGGACTGACATCATTAACATTCATGCCCAGGCCATCCCTCTGGCCAAATATCAGAGGGTTGCGGCCCGACATCCTGCCGAAGCGGCTGCCAAAACTCTGGTGACTTCCATCTCCATCCGTCGCCACGCCTGGCTCAAGTCCTCGACAATTTCGAACGACACCAAGTACAGAATCAAGGATCTCCCTTTCGACGGTGTCGGTCTCTTCAACCAATCGACCGATGACACCATGGAGGACTTTCATAAGAAACGCGAAACCGCACGTTCTTAATTGGTTCAACCGTCTACCTCTTACCAACGACTGTTTTATCACTTGGGTCAGCTCTACCCTAAGCAATACCAATCTCAACGTTTTCAGCCTTACAGGCAATACCGCCCGCAGCAAACTGACAGATCGCTGCAGGCCCCGCAACCTCTTATGGCATCATACAAGCAGCAATCCTTTCCATGCCACCGCCAGTCCTTTCATAAAGGACAGTGAAAGGGTAAGCAGTATTGACATCTCTCCCTGCTACCCTCACCTCAAGCCCCCTTTGACCCTTACCAGGTTGGCTCCCTTTCACGGGTGGCAGTCCATTACTTCTGACAAATGGCTTTTGTCCATAATAGCATGTGGCTACCTCATAGAGTTTTCCACCTTACCCCCTTTACGGTTTATTCGTTACACCTCATATTCCTCTGCCCTGCAGGACAAGGTTACCAAGCTTATCCAAAAAAGCGCCATTTCTCCAGTCCCACCATCAGACTACCGTGATGGCTTCTATTCAAAGTACTTTACAGTCCCTAAAAAGGACAAGGGACTTCACCCTATCTTGGACCTCACTCATCTCAACCGCTTCATATCTCCCTGCAAGTTTCGCATGCTCTCGCTGGACTCTATTATCCCTTTGCTTTCGCAGGGAGACTGGTTCATTATCATCGACCTGCAGGATGCATACTTTCACATCTCTATTCATCCAGACCATCGGAAATTCTTCTGGTTTCACTTCAACGGCATCGCCTACCAGTTCTCCGCACTCCCGTTCGGGCTCTCTACCGCCCCCTGGACTTTCACAAAGTGCATGGCACCGGTAGCCGCCTTTCTCCAGCTTCGCGGCATAAACGTCTATCCCTACATCGATGATTGGCTTATTGTGGCGGCATCGTACCACGACGCCATACGAGCCCGGGATATGACACTTCACACCCTGCATGCCCTTGGTCTCAGAGTCAACACCGAGAAATCACATCTAATCCCAAAACAAACAGCAAAGTTCATCGGCATAGAGATAGACTCAATTCGAGCGCGGGCGTTCCTACCCCTCGAAAGAATCGCAAAACTCCAAAAAGCAATTCACCCCTTTCAAAACCATCAGTCCATCTCCGCGCACCATGCCCAGCACCTCCTTGGGCTCATGGCATCGACAACGACGGTCATCCAACACGTCAGACTCAAAATGAGATCCCTGCAGGCCTGGTTTCTTTCCCTTTTCGATCCGGTGACGGACCATCCATACTCTCCATTAAACGTAACGCCAGAACTAGCCTCCCAACTCGATTGGTGGACTTCCCCACATAATCTCCTCATCGGCAGGTCTTTCTACCCACTGCGACCATCGGTACAGGTCACAACCGATGCCAGCCCTTCGGGCTGGGGGGCTCACTGCCAACAGCACAGGGTCCATGGACTGTGGTCAGCACAAGAGCTTCCGCTCCACATAAATCACCTGGAACTGCTAGCCATCATCAAAGCGTTCCATGCCTTCCTTCCCCTCATACGGGGCCGAGTAGTGCAGTTGGCAACGGACAACACCACTGCACTATTCTATGTCAACAAACAAAGCGGCACACACTCCCCCTCTCTCCTTTACCTAGCTGTCGACCTTTGGGAGTGGTGCTATTCCAAGCATGTCTTTCCCATTGCCGTCCACATCTCCACAGACGACAGCATCTTGGCGGACCGACTCAGTCGACTCCCAACACGGACACACGAGTGGACTCTGAACGAGGTCATATTTCAACAGCTGTGCCGCAGATGGGGCACTCCTTCACTGGACCTTTTTGCTTCTGAAACCAACAAAAAATGCCCCCGCTTCTGCTCCAGAGCAGGCAGAGACAGTGCCTCCCTCGGGGATGCGTTTCTCATAGACTGGTCCCAAGACCTCCTTTACATGTTTCCCCCGCTTTCCCTCATTCAGAGGGTCATCCTTCGCGTCCGGCACAACAGAGCCAACGCAATCCTGGTAGCCGCGTTCTGGCCTCGCCAGCCTTGGTTTACTCACCTGGTCATGATGTTGTCGGACATGGTCCGCCGTCCTCTCTGTCCGGATCTCCTTTCATTCGACCACAGCCTCGTCCTTCACCCCAACGTCGCCTCTCTCAGTGTTTCAGCTTGGAGGATACTCCCAAAGTGATGCAGGTCCTCCTTCGAGCCCGTAAGCCTTCAACCACTCTCCTGCATGAGAATAAGTGGAAATCCTTCCTCAGATACACCCACGACAATGGCTTACCTGCTGTACCCGTCTCTCTAAAGACTGTACTTACTTACCTTCTTCACCTCTTTGAGCCTGGTCTCTCAGTCCACGATGCGGGCCTACCTGTCAGCGATCATGGCTTACCAGCCAGACGACTCACCTTCTTCCAAGTTGTTTTCCCACCCAACTGTTAAGAAGTTTCTCAAGGGGCTTAACAACATGCGCCCCTCTCGGCAATGCATCACTCCCCAACTGGTTCTCAACGCCCTTATGCAGCATCCTTTCGAACCTATGGCGTCTATTGACTTTAAGTTCCTCACCCTCAAAACAGCCTTCTTAGTCACTATTACATCGGCTAAAAGAGCCAGCGAGCTCGCCACCCTTCGCGCTGATCCTCCCTTTATTCAGTTCCACCCTGATAAAGTGACTCTTTACTTTGATGTCTCCTTTCTCCCTAAAGTGGTCTCCGACTTTCACCTCAATCAACCCATCATACTTCCGTGCTTTTTCAAATCCCCATCTTCGCCCCTGGAACATATGCTCCACAACCTCGATGTCAGACGTGCTTTGGCCTTCTATGTCGATCAGGAAATCTAACAAACTTTTCCTGTGTTTCCATGGCCCAAACAAGGGGCACCCAGCCTCTTCTCAAACTATAGCACGCTGGATAGTACAGACTATTTCTCTTGCCTACAGCCTGTTGGGGAAAACTCCTCCACAGCATCTGACAGCTCATTCTACCAGAGCTTTGTCCACCTCTACTGCCTTTCACCGTGGCACTGAGGTCCCTGACATATGCCGTGCTGCCACTTGGTCCACGCCGTCGACGTTTGTCAAACACTATCGGCTGGACATCAGAGCATGCCAAGATGCTGCATTCAGCAGAGCTGTCCTGTCATCCTTCTTACCATGATGACCCACCAACCGGTAAGTGCAGCTTGCTAGTCACCCATATGTGTGCATTTACAGGGACCACGAAAAAGAAAAAGAGGTTATTTACCTGTAACCATGGTTCTTTGAGTGGATCTCTTTGAATTCACACAACCCATCCATCCTTCCCCACTATCCGTCACGGGTTAATTGGATACTTAATTAATTGTTTCCTTCGCACCTGGCGGATAGTAGGAACTGAGGAAGATGTTGGGTGGGAGGAGCATATACCTCATGGAGGATCACACCATAAAATTGTTACTTTTAGCTCTAGAATCTTCCGAGAGAGTCAGCGCAGGCGCAGACAATACCATCACAATTGGTCAACACTTTGAAGGATGAAGAAGAAGGGTGTGGCTTAGATAGTAGAAAATGGAGATTTTGCCATGTGGAATGTTCTTTAAAGAGAGGTTTTGGATCCTTTTTACCTTTTTGCTTATGTTAAGATGAAGAGGAGGGGAGAATGTAGTGATGAGAGAAAGAAGAAGGGGGGCTTACGCCTTTTTCCTACCCTGAGGAAATCTTTTCAGAATTTTAACAATTTTTTACTCAGCTCAAACTTGTTATTCATTAACTGCAATATTCTTTGGAAATGTAATCTATGCTATGCTTATGCATCAGACTGAATTATCTATGAAAACTTTATTTTTTCAATAAAAAATTATTCTTAAAAATCTTTAAGTTTGGTCTTTTGAAGACCAAGTCTGCTGAGCCTGCTTCCAAGGGATTGGCAAAGCCACAATATTGCTACTAACAAAGTCCTATTTCTCTGAGCTTTAGTGAGTCTTAAGGGACTCTTGAGGGTCCCCTGGACTGCAAAGAGAACAAACCTATCCACTTTGAAGGAAATCAACCCTGAGTGCTCACTGGAAGGACAGATCCTGAAGCTGAGACTCCAATACTTTGGCCATCTGATGATAAGAGAAGACTCCCTGGAAAAGACCCTATGTTGGGAAAGTATGAAGACAAGAGGAGAAGGGGACGACAGAGGATGAGATCTGCCGCTCGGCTAATTGGCAAACTGCTAGGTAGCCGCCACTCCCACAACCTATCCCCACCCCCTTACCATAATCATTGCCGCCACTGCCGAGGTCTCCATCAGGCCTCCACAGCCATGGCCTGTAGAAAGGCTGTCCTTTGCAAAGATGGTGGCTGCGGCTTCATTTAGGGTAGGGAAGCTGCAGCTTCCATCTTTGCAAAGGGCAGCCTGGATTCCCTTAAAGCAGGCTAAGGGGCGGGGAGCTAAGGTAGGAAGGGTGTGGGGTTAGGATGTGGGGGGGTGTCTGCCTATCAACCTGCCCATCAGCTGATTGTTAGGCCAGTAGGCAGAATGGAAAAGCCATAGGATGGCTTTTTAAAAAATTGTATGGGGACAAATAAAAACAGAAATATTTGTCAATCCATATTCATCGAGACTTAAAATTTGACAAATACGGATTGACAAATATATGACGAATTGGCTATATTCATCCAAAAAAAATCAGTTTTTATATTTGTCCCCATCTCTAATCAAAATCATTTAAATTTTTAAATAAAGAGCATATTTTCTTTAGTAACATAACTATTTCTTTTTACTGCAATGAGATGTAGTGCTGATCAGGTTTTCTTCTTTTGCAGGAGTCCAATGTTCTGATTGCTGCTAACAGTCAGGGTACAATTAAGGTAAGTTACTGTATACCTCTTTGTTATAAAGAATTGTCCATTGATAGCAAGGTTGCACATAATTTGAAGATAACATTTTAGGAGTTCCTCCTTATTGAAGATGTAGTTTAAGATGACTTATTTACAACTGCTGTTGTTTGGTGAGCTAGAAATACAGTGAACTACAAATAGGAGATCTCCAGTGAGGATGAAGAAGTGGAATAGGGGACTTTCTATTTGAAGGAACTGATTGGGGGGTTGTTGTGGAATGGGGTAAGCTGCTGCTGTAGTGTTCTATAAAAGACAGTCGCACAAATGACAAATGAAAGACTGTTCAGTTTCTTAGTTTCTGTAGAAGTACCATGCTTAAATATCTGTGAGATCTGTGAAAATTCTCAGTCATCCAGGTGAGATTATGTGGAAGTTGAGTCATGGCGACTGGACTCCCTAGGTTGAAATGTTTCACAACTCATCCAAGTAGCTTCTTCAGTCTTCAGAATTATATTAATTATATCATCATATTATTATAAATGTATAAAGAAAAGCAAGCCACAATTCACACAATCTCCAGTGTCTACACAATTTTCTCTTATAAAAAGTGGAGAAAGAAACTAGAGAACTAGTTATCCTTGACTTGATTCTAACCAATACAGACAACTTGATGAAGGAAATGGCAGTAATAAGGGGAATGCTGGGTGAGAGTGACCATGTTCTACTAGAATTCTTGATTTCAAAGGAAACTAAAGTGTAGCCACACATATATGCTGGATTTGTTTTTTGTTTTTGTTTTTTTTCAAAAAATGTCAAATTTAACAAACTCAGGGCAATGATAAGTAAGGTTTCCATGGCAGTAGATCCCAACAAGAAAAGGAGTCCAAGAAGGTTGGTAGCTTCTAAAGAAGGACATTCTAAAGGCACAAATACAAACAATTCCAACAAGAAAAAGAGGTTAGAGACAGCAAAAAGGGACAGTGTGGCTTCACAAAAAGCTCAGAGAGGACCTGAAAAGTACAGACAAGTAGCAAGAAACTGCAAGAATTGCATTAGCAGGACAAAAGCTGAGAATGAGCTGAGGCTAGCTAGAAACACTAAAAGCAGCAAAATACTATCTTCAGGTACATTCGTAGCAAAAGACAAAAAACCAGTGGCTCGGCTACTCAGTGGAGTTGGGAAAATAACAGAAGAGAAAGAAAAGGCAGAAGTGCTCAGTTCCTATTTTAGTCCAGTCTTTTCTCCAAAGGACAAACTATAACCCTCCAAACAACAGTGAAATGCAGGTGGAGGGGATGGGATTGCAGCTAGAGATTAATAAACAAATAGTCAAGGAATACCTTGCTACCTTAAATGAATTCAGATCTCCAGGGCTGGATGAACTGCACCCAAGAATAAAAAAGGCTGAAAAGCTCTCGGAACCATGACTGGAGGAGTGCTAATGTCCTTTTCTTTAAAAAGGGCACAAAAAGGAGGAACTTGGGAACTACAGATCGGTCAGCCTGAAACCAATCCCAGGGAAAATTTTGGTCACTATGCAAGCACTTAGAAAATAAAGCAGTAATAACTAGAAGCCAACACAGACTTGTCAAGAACACATCCTGCCTGACTAATCTGATTTCATTTTTTGATTGAGTAATCTCCCTGATAGACAGAGAAAACCCTGTAGATGGAGTATATCTTGACTTCAGCAAGGTTTTTGACAAAGTGCCCCATGATATTCTGATTAGCAAACTAACTAGGTGTATGTGGATACACAGTTAGCTACAGAATTGTACTCAGAGGGTGATGATTAATGGCTCCTTCTCCAACTTGGAGGAGGTAACAGGTGGGATACTGCAGGACTCAGTCCTGGGCTGCGTGCTGTTCAACATTTTTATTAATGACCTGGATCAGGGGATGCAGGGAATGTTAATCAAATCTGAGGATGACACAAAATTGGGTGGAATAGCTAATACCCTGGAAGATAGAAACAGAACTCAAATGATCTTGATATGCTGGAGCACTGGGCTGAAAAGAGCCAAATGAAATTTAACAGGGATAAGTGCAAAGTACTGCATCTAGGAAAAAACAAATCAAACACACAGTAGTTACAAGATAGGGAACATCTGGGTCTGCAATACTACGAGTGAAAATGATCTTGGAGTTGTAGATCACAAGCTGGATATGAGGCAACAGTGTGATACAGCTACAGGAAGGAAATGCTATTTTAGGTTGCATTAATAGAAGTATAGTCTCCAAATCCCACAAGGTACTTTGTTGTTGATTAGTCGTTAAGTCATGTCTGACTCTTCGTGACCCCATGGACCAAAGCACGCCAGGCCCTCCCAGAGTTCGTTCAAATTCATGTTGGTAGCTTCAATGACACTGTCCAACCATCTCATCCTCTGTTGTCCCCTTCTCGCCTTCCTATTTTCCCAACATCAGGGCCTTTTCCAGGGAGTCTTCTCTTCTCATAAGATGGCCAAAGTATTGGGGCCTCAGCATCAGGATCTGTCCTTCCAGTGAGCACTCAGGGTTGATTTCCTTCAAGATGGATAGGTTTGTTCTCTTTGCAGTCCAGGGGACTCTCAAGAGTCTCCTCCAGCACCACAATTCAAAAGCATCAATTCTTTGGCGGTCAGCCTTCTTTATGGTCCAGCTCTCACTTCCATACATCACTACTGGAATAACCATAGCTTTGACTATGCAGACCTTTGTCAGCAAGGTGATGTCTCTGCTTTTTAAGATGCTGTTGAGGTTTGTCATCCCTTTCCTCCCAAGAAGCAGGAATCTTTTAATTTTGTGGCTGCTGTCACCATCTGCTGTGATCATGGAGCCCAAGAAAGTAACATCTGTCACTGCCCTTCTATTTGCCCTTCTATCTTCCCCTTCTATTTGCCAGGAGGTGATGGGACTAGTGGCCATGATCTTCGTGTTTTTGATGTTGAGCTTCAGACCTTTTTTATGCTCTCCTCTTTCACCCTCATTAAGAGTTTCTTTCATTCCTTTCCCCCATCATCCCAAAGCCGGCCTTTTCGCCCAGCTGATTGGCGGGGCTTCGGGATGATTGGGGGGAGAGCGGTTCCCTGCGATCATCCTGAAGCCCCACCGATCAGCTGCGTGAAAATGGGGCGTATGGGGGAAAATCGCAAAGCAGTTTTTCCCCATTGAAAACATTGTTATGCAATCGCTTTTGCGATTGCAAAATCTTCATCGGTGTGCGGATTAGTCGTTAAACGGGGCACCCATTAAGCGAGGCCCCACTGTATATGTGGAGAGCGGTTCCCTGCGATCATCCTGAAGCCCCACCGATCAGCTGCGTGAAAATGGGGCGTATGGGGGAAAATCGCAAAGCAGTTTTTCCCCATTGAAAACATTGTTATGCAATCGCTTTTGCGATTGCAAAATCTTCATCGGTGTGCGGATTAGTCGTTAAACGGGGCACCCATTAAGCGAGGCCCCACTGTATATGTGCCCGGTAGGATAGGCTCAGGTTACTTTTTGCTCAAGTGAGAGTTCAGGCTTGACTTAATTGAGCACCCAGTTTTCTGCTTTTCTGGCTGTTTTTCACGTCTCTACTAGCACCACATTTCAAATGACTTGATTTTTCTCCTTATTTTCTTCAGTATGTTTCACATACTATTGATGATTTTGACGTTGGTTTTCAGTGACATTCTTTGTTAACTCCAACCTCTCCCTTTTTTAAAATTTCAAAAAGCAGAGGGACATATATTGGAAAATATGTACACAACATGCCCATAGAGCTTTTGCTCTAATATAGCTTTTCTTCCTCAGCTTGCCTAACTCAAAAAATGGGATTGGAAATTGGAACATAGCTTTTCAGTCTGCATTTAGCAGAGTGGGGATGGCAATATTAGCTTAATGGAAACATTAAAGGATCTCTGTGTTTCTCCACTATACAGGCTTCACACCCTTGCTTCACCATTTCACACCTTTGCTTCACCATTTCACTAAGCCCAAAACAGCCTTCAAAGTATTTTGGCTTCTCCCTGGAACCATAGTGCAGATCATGTGCTCTCCTGGTATTCCCACTGGTGAGGGAAATTTCTGATTGAATCTATATGTACCATTGTTGTTTGCTCATTAAGTCGTGTCCGTGCTCTGGTCATGACCCCATGGACCAGAGCACACCAGGCCCTCCTGTCTTCCACTGCCTCCTGGAATTTGGTCAAATTATATGTACCATATGTATATTTAAACTCTCATTTTAAAAAGCAAGGAAATTCAAGTCTTCAAAAAATATCTGGTTTATCAATGTGAGATATTGTGCTTCTGTACCCACAATTCAAAAAGCCAGGAAATGTCCCAATATTGCTGCACTATCATATCAAAAAGGATGCCAAGTATCAAAAAGCATCATATCAAAAAGGATGCCAAGCTTTACATAGCAGAGGGCATCTTGAATGTTGACAGCACCAATAGCAGCAGTCAAGATGATCTACAGAATACCCTTTTCTGCTCACTACCATTCACGCTTGTTGAAAAACTGCTCTGACAATTGCTTTGTGTTTGGGTGTGAAGTGTTTAAGGACATTATGAACAACATACAAACTGTGACAGGCAGAAGAAGATATGGCATTGTCCCAGTAGCAGTTAAACCTGAAAGAACAAGGGTTAGCTATGTGCAGTCTACCCCCCATACTAGCTCTGTTGCCAGCTGTCATAACCGAAGTAACTTACTCAGCCAGCCGCTCTATCCTTGATGTTGTTAAATGCCTGATCTGTCCTGAATAAAGCACAAATTATTCAGGATTTGATCCTGGATGAAGTGGCAGACCTAGAATGTATTACTGAGACCCAGGTGGCTGCAGAGGGCAGTATAGCCCTATCACTCATTGGCCCACCTGGATATTCCATCCATCACCAAGGTAGACTGGATGGTCGGGGAGGGGGAGTCACCATTATTTATAAAAACACCTTTGAAGTTGTCACACTCTCTGCCTTGACAATCCCAGGCCTGGAGGCCCTCCATGTGTCAGTGGGAGCTAGAGACAGATTTGGGATGGTGCTGGCTTACCCATGGCCCA